CACCAGTCCATCACTCTCACCACCAGTCCATCACCCTCACCACCAGTCCATCACCCTCACCACCAGTCCATCACTCTCACCACCAGTCCATCACCCTCACCACCAGTCCATCACCCTCACCACCAGTCCATCATCCTCACCACCAGTCCATCATCCTCACCACCAGTCCATCACCCTCACCACCAGTCCATCACTCTCACCACCAGTCCATCACTCTCACCACCAGTCCATCACCCTCACCACCAGTCCATCACTCTCACCACCAGTCCATCATCCTCACCACCAGTCCATCATCCTCACCACCAGTTCATCACCCTCACCACCAGTCCATCACCCTCACCACCAGTCCATCACCCTCACCACCAGTCCATCACTCTCACCACCAGTCCATCACCCTCACCACCAGTCCATCACTCTCACCACCAGTCCATCACCCTCACCACCAGTCCATCACCCTCACCACCAGTCCATCACTCTCACCACCAGTCCATCACCCTCACCACCAGTCCATCACCCTCACCACCAGTCCATCACCCTCACCACCAGTCCATCACTCTCACCACCAGTCCATCACCCTCACCACCAGTCCATCACCCTCACCACCAGTCCATCACTCTCACCACCAGTCCATCACCCTCACCACCAGTCCATCACCCTCACCACCAGTCCATCATCCTCACCACCAGTCCATCATCCTCACCACCAGTCCATCACCCTCACCACCAGTCCATCACTCTCACCACCAGTCCATCACCCTCACCACCAGTCCATCACCCTCACCACCAGTCCATCACTCTCACCACCAGTCCATCACCCTCACCACCAGTCCATCACTCTAACCACCAGTCCATCACCCTCACCACCAGTCCATCACTCTCACCACCAGTCCTTCACCCTCACCACCAGTCCATCACTCTCACCACCAGTCCATCACCCTCACCACCAGTCCATCACCCTCACCACCAGTCCATCACCCTCACCACCAGTCCATCACCCTCACCACCAGTCCATCACCCTCACCACCAGTCCATCACCCTCACCACCAGTCCATCACCCTCACTACCAGTCCATCACCCTCACCACCAGTCCATCACCCTCACCACCAGTTCATCACTCTCACCACCAGTCCATCGCCCTCACCACCAGTCCATCACCCTCACTACCAGTCCATCACCCTCACCACCAGTCCATCACCCTCACCACCAGTTCATCACTCTCACCACCAGTCCATCGCCCTCACTACCAGTCCATCACCCTCACCACCAGTCCATCACCCTCACCACCAGTCCATCACCCTCATTACCAGTCCATCACCCTCACCACCAGTCCATCACCCTCACCACCAGTCCATCACCCTCACCACCAGTCCATCACCCTCACCACCAGTCCATCGCCCTCACCACCAGTTCATCACTCTCTGGGGGCTCTGGTGGCCTGGTGGTTAACGCTCTCGCTTCACACGGTGAGGGCCTGGGTTCGATTCCCAGCCAGAGTAGAAACATTGGACGTGTTTCTTTCCACCTGTTGTCTATGTTCCCCATCAGTAAAATGGGTACCTGGGTGTTAGTCGACTGGTGTGGGTCGCATCCTGGGACACTGACCTAAGGAGGCCTGGTCACAGACCGGGCCGCGGGGGCGTTGACCCCCGGAACTCTCTCCAGATAAACTCTCCAGATAAACCAGTCCATCACCCTCACCACCAGTCCATCACCCTCACCACCAGTCCATCACCCTCATCACCAGTCCATCACCCTCACCACCATTCTATCACCCTCACCACCAGTCCATCACCCTCACCACCAGTCCATCACCCTCACCACCAGTCCATCACCCTCACCAACAGTCCATCACCCTCACCAACAGTCCATCAAACCCTCACCAACAGTCCATCACCCTCACCACCAGTCCATCACCCTCACCACCAGTCCATCACCCTCACCAACAGTCCATCACCCTCACCACCAGTCCATCACCCTCACCAACAGTCCATCACCCTCACCAACAGTCCATCACCCTCACCACTAGTCCATCACCCTCACCACCAGTCCATCACCCTCACCATCAGTCCATCACCCTCACCACCAGTCCATCACCCTCACCACTAGTCCATCACCCTCATTACCAGTCCATCACCCTCACCATCAGTCCATCACCCTCACCACTAGTCCATCACCCTCATTACCATTTCCCTCACCCTCACCACCAGTCCATAACCCTCACCATCAGTCCATCACCCTCACCACCAATTCATCACCCTCATTACCAGTCCATCACCCTCACTACCAGTCCATACCCTCACCATCAGTCCATCACCCTCACCACCAGTCCATCACCCCACCACCAATTCATCACCCTCATTACCAGTCCATCACCCTCACCACCCCAAATTTATCACCCTCATTACCATTCCATCACCCTCACCACCAGTCCATCACCCTCACCACCAATTCATCACCCTCATTACCAGTCCATCACCCTCACCACCAATTCATCACCCTCATTACCAGTCCATCACCCTCATCACCAGTCCATCACCCTCACCACCAGTCCATCACCCTCACCACCAATTCATCACCCTCATTACCAGTCCATCACCCTCACCCACCAATTCATCACCCTCATTACCAGTCCATCACCCTCACCACCAATTCATCACCCTCGTTACCAGTCCATCACCCTCACTACCAGTCCATCACTCTCACTTCCAGTCCATCATTCTCACTACCAGTCCATCACCCTCACTACCAGTCCATCACCCTCACTACCAGTCCATCACTCTCACTACTAGTCCATCACCCTCACCACCAGTCCATCACCCTCACCACCAGTTCATCACCCTCACCACCAGTTCATCACCCTCACCACCAGTCCATCACCCTCACCACCAGTCCACCACCCTCACCAACAGTCCATCACCCTCACCACTAGTCCATCACCCCCGCACCAGTCCATCACCCTCACCACCAATTCATCACCCTCATTACCAGTCCATCACCCACAGCACCAGTCCATCACCCTCACCACCACTCCATCACCCTCACCACCAGTCCATCACCCTCACCACCAGTCCATCACCCTCACCACCAGTCCATCACCCTCACCACCAGTCCATCACCCTCACCACCAGTCCATCACCCTCACAGCCAGTCCATCACCCTCACCACCAGTCCATCACCCTCACCACCAGTCCATCACCCTCACCACCAGTCCCCTCACCCTCACCACCAGTCCATCACCCTCACAGCCAGTCCATCACCCTCACCACCAGTCCATCACCCTCACCACCAGTCCCCTCCCCTCACCACCAGTCCATCACCCTCACCACCAGTCCATCACCCTCACAGCCAGTCCATCACCCTCACCACCAGTCCATCACCCTCACCACCACTTCCATCACCCTCACCACCAGTCCATCACCCTCACAGCCAGTCCATCTTCTCACCACCAGTCCATCACCCTCACCACCAGTCCATCACCCTCACAGCCAGTCCATCACCCTCACCACCAGTCCATCACCCTCACAGCCAGTCCATCACCCTCACAGCCAGTCCATCACCCTCACAGCCAGTCCATCACCCTCACCACCAGTCCATCACCCTCACCACCAGTCCATCACCCTCACCACCAGTCCATCACCCTCACCACCAATCTATAATCATTGCTAAATGTTTGTCACAGAGTATTGAACCAGCTGAGTGTCTTCGTCAGTGTCTGAAAACCTGATAAAAGTCTGTGTCATAATGCCCGCTAAAATGCTGAATGTCTGTCACGCTGTCTGAGAACCAGCTAAGTGTCTCACAATGTCTTGGAACCAGCTATGTGTCTGTCAGAATGTCTGGCAACAAGCTAAGTGCCTGTGTCACTATGTCTCTGAACCAGCTAAGTGTTTGGGTCTCAGTGACTGAACATCAGCTGAGTGTCTGTCACAATGTCTGTAAACAGCTAAGTGTGTATGTCACAACATCTGGGAACCAGATGAGTGTCTGTCTCAATATCTGGGAACAAGCCAAGTGTCTGTGTGGCAGTGTCTGTGTGGCAGTGTCTGTGTGGCAGTGTCTGTGTGGCAGTGTCTGTGTGGCAGTGTCTGTGTGGCAGTGTCTGTGTGGCAGTGTCTGTGTGGCAGTGTCTGTGTGGCAGTGTCTGTGTGGCAGTGTCTGTGTGGCAGTGTCTGTGTGGCAGTGTCTGTGTGGCAGTGTCTGTGTGGGGCAGTGTCTGTGTGGCAGTGTCTGTGTGGCAGTGTCTGTGTGGCAGTGTCTGTGTGGGGCAGTGTCTGTGTGGCAGTGTCTGTGTGGCAGTGTCTGTGTGGCAGTGTCTGTGTGGGGCAGTGTCTGTGTGGCAGTGTCTGTGTGGTAGTGTCTGTGTGGCAGTGTCTGTGAAGAAGCTAAGGCTTTCTCACGATGACATGCTAAGTCAAGCACAGCCTGAGGAATACAGGATGATGATCTAATTATTGATTTACTGTATACTGTCAATTGTGTTAAATACATGGTAAGATAATGCAAATTATCAGATACATCAGCGGCCTCCAACAATATCTGACTCTCCTTCTGAGATAAAGTGATCCTTATCCTATCTCCTGCGTGTACTGTATATGGACTGGCAGAAAATGCTAAATATCCCCCACCCCTGATTAATGTTTCTCTAGGATATTTTATCTAAACTTTGCGGCTTTGGCTTATAAAGTCAATATTAGCGTGATAAACAAGCCGAGTACAAATTCGTGTTGTAATAACACAAATAATTTAAGTCTCAACATTATTAACATATTTCAGTAATTTTAAACAATACTAAATTTTAGCTGCCCTACAATAAAATTGTTAGGATTAAATTAAATTATATTATTTTTTCTTATCATTACTAGGGAGGCTCATAAGTTATTTATGGAACAAAATTAAAAACTTAATACCACGATAATTAAAAATAAATGCAAACCGGTAATTACAAAAATATTTTAGAGAGGTCGGTTTGTTTGGCTCCTTAAAAACACAACAATGTCTTACCTGAAGCAAATATTATGTAGTTAGTATCTTCATCCAACGTTTCCACCTGTGGGAGACAAATATTATTAGTGATTGTGTTTTTCTTATTCACTTTTACATAGGTCAGTCATGTCAGTGTTGAGAATGAACAGTGTGATTTTTTTTTACCCTTTCCAATATACCATGTATAGTGTGTTAGGTAAGACACATATGCAACAGTTAGGTATCTTTATTATGAAACGTTTCGCCTACACAGTAGGCTTCTTCAGTCAAGTACAGAAAAGTTGATAGAAGCAGAAGATACTTGAAGACGATGTAATCAGTCCATCACCCTTAATGTTTTGAGGTGGTCAGTCCCTCAGTCTGGAGAAGAGCATTGTTCCATAATATGAAACAATATGTTTCATATTATGGAACAATGCTCTTCTCCAGACTGAGGGACTGACCACCTCAAAACATTAAGGGTGATGGACTGATTACATCGTCTTCAAGTATCTTCTGCTTCTATCAACTTTTCTGTACTTGACTGAAGAAGCCTACTGTGTAGGCGAAACGTTTCATAATAAAGATACCTAACTGTTGCATATGTGTCTTACCTAACAACCTGTCGGTATTTTATACCATTTTAATGTTCATACCATGTATAGGTTGGCTAGTACAACAAGTACAACATTAATGGGACAACCCATTGTCATTCCAAAGTTTTGCCTCCACTTAGGAGGTTCAACATCACAGAACTACAAAAGACTCAACACAGTTGAGCTTCCCTCCATACCGTTAAATTCTGTGTGAGCTTCTGTTTGTAAATGTCTATCTGTCTCTCTTCCTCTCTCTCTCTGAACCTCATTCATAGTAATTCTTTCCTCACCTTGGCCAGAACAGTGTAGTTCACAAGACACGGGGTGCAGAACTGGGAGGCTGGGATCCAGTGTTCGTTGAGCACGTGGTGTGCTTCATGCTGTTCCAGGATGTACTGCACAAACTGCCTGAAAGTGGGCACACCCACGTGGCCTGGCACCAGCTCCAGCCAGGCACCCCATCCTGAAGGACCCAGCTCAGGGTGTCCAGCCTTCATCACCTTGATAATCTTGCTGTAATCCTTCCTGTTCAGCACAATCTTGTTCCTGGCCATGGCATGATGGGGGTGAGAATATGACGAGGGGGTGAGAATTTGATAAATGGTGGGAATATGATGAGAGATGAGAATATGACAAGGGGTGAGACTATGACAAGAGTGCAAATGATGAGGGGTGTGAATATGACGAAGGGTAAAGATAAGACAAGGGACAAGAATATGACGCGAGATAAGAATATGACTAGGGATATGAATATGATCAGGGATGACCAGATTAGAAAGTACTGTAGACTTTACGTGTACAAATACTGAAGACTTGGTAAGTAGGTTGTAGTGATGTCCTCTGTGCTAAGAGTCTGACAAGTTGTATATTAATGGAATACAATACCGACTAGACAAAGAATTAGACACATGTGCAACATCTGGGTGTCTTTACTTTGTAGACGTTTCGCTATCTTGTGGATTTATCAATACATACATGGATATAATCTTATGGCTATAGAAATATATACAAAAGACAGTGAAAGACGAGGTAATGAGTCCCTCAGTATAGGAACAGGTGATAAACACTGTAGTCTTAAAGAATGTGAAGCAGCGGCAGGAAGACTGGTGCTGGTGCATGGAGTCATGAGATGCAGTTGACGAAGACATTGTCACTGGTAGGACTGTGCTTCCCATGCTTCAAGACGACGGTGCGCATCACCTGCTCCTTGTCTGAGGGACTGATTACCTCATCTTCCACTGTCGTCTGTATATATTTCAATAATCATATTACATCCATGTATTGTACTGATAAAATCTCTGGATAGCGAAACATGTACAAAGTAATGATACCCAGATGTTGCACATGTCGTGATCAAGTGAGCTGTCGGTGTTTTCAGGATGCAGTTTAACTGCTCAGGAATTAACTTAAAGCCTTTGAGATTATAACAAAGTTTGTGAAAATGAAAATGAGATGAAAAAATATCTTTGTACGCACAGATGTGAATATAGTCTGGGAAAATAAAACTCGGAAAATCCATTATGAGGAGAAGGTTAACACCTGGCAGTGCTGGGCTGGCTGGCCCTCCCCTCCCCGGCCTCCTCCCCGGCCTCCTCCCCGGCCTCCTCCCCGGCCTCCTCCCCGGCCTCCTCCCCGGCCTCCTCCCCGGCCTCCTCCCCGGCCTCCTCCCCGGCCTCCTCCCCGGCCTCCTCCCCGGCCTCCTCCCCGGCCTCCTCCCCGGCCTCCTCCCAGCCTCCTCCCCGGCCTCCTCCCCGGCCTCCTCCCCGGCCTCCTCCCCGGCCTCCTCCCCGGCCTCCTCCCCGGCCTCCTCCCCGGCCTCCTCCCGGCCTCCTCCCCGGCCTCCTCCCCGGCCTCCTCCCCGGCCTCCTCCCCGGCCCTCCTCCCCGGCCTCCTCCCGGCCTCCTCCCCGGTCTCCTCCCCGGCCTCCTCCCCGGCCTCCTCCCCGGCCTCCTCCCCGGCCTCCTCCCCGGCCTCCTCCCCGGCCTCCTCCCCGGCCTCCTCCCCGGCCTCCTCCCCGGTCTCCTCCCCGGCCTCCTCCCGGCCTCCTCCCCGGCCTCCTCCCCGGCCTCCTCCCCGGCCTCCTCCCCGGCCTCCTCCCCGGCCTCCTCCCCGGCCTCCTCCCCGGCCTCCTCCCCGGCCTCCTCCCCGGCCTCCTCCCCGGCCTCCTCCCTGGCCTCCTCTCAGGTCGCTCCAAAATAACAAAAGGCACAATACCGTGACTGGAACAATATACAAATAACCCGCACATAAAAGAGAGAAGCTTACGACGACGTTTCGGTCCGACTTGGACCATTGACAAAGTCACACTAACCAGAAGTGGAGCAGGACGGCTATATATGTGCGGCGTCTGGGTGTCTTTGTTGTGGACGTTTCGCCATCCAGTGGCTGGCTGGATAGCGAAACGTCTACGATATGGATGCCCGGGTGCTGCGCATGTGTCTTAATTTCATCTTGTCGGTATTATATACCATTCTTGTACTACTACTACTACCACCACCTCTTCCTGCCTATATATAGCCGTCCTGCTCCACTTCTGGTTAGTGTGATTTTGTAAATGGTCCAAGTCGGCCAGAAACGTCGTCGTAAGCTTCTCTTTTTTATGTGCGGGTTATTTGTGTATCGCTCCAGAAGTAAATAACGTCAGATTCGTGATATACATTTAGAATGATCCGAGACATAATGTATGTCTAATTATATATTATTATACGTCTAATCACTGATTAATGTCAGTTTTTGAGTTCGAAACTGTTATAATTAACCATAATTAACATTAAACCTGCATGGTTTATTTGCAATCGTGTCATTACGATTTCTTAAGTCATGTTGACGGCAGTGAAGGGACTTGAGCTAGAGTTCGTCACGGCCACGCTAGCTGGAGATTCGTCTGTAAAAACTTGCATTTGTGGTCACAGAGGTGCCTGTGCTAACTTTCCTATGGTGTAGAAATATACCTAGTTGGATGAATCTTATTGTGGCTAGCTGGTCTAGTGGCTAACGCGACGGGCTGGAGTTTTGAGACTCTATGACCGCGGGTTCAATCCCGGCCGAGGGTATGGTTTATTTGCAATCGTGTCATTACGATTTCTTAAGTCAACCTGCATGTGATTGACTGACGGGTGAACAACGTCTGTTTATCATACCTGGAGTTTACCTGGAAAAGGGTTCGGGGGTCAACGCCCCTGCGGCTCGGTCTGTGACCAGGCCTCATGGTGGATCAGGGTCTGATCAACCATCATGATTACACGAAGCATCTAAATCTAAATACGTTACGTTCATCATTAGTAAGCTGTCAGTTAACCATGTCATTAGTGGGCTGTCATTAGCCAACTTTGCCATTAATGGGCTGTCATTAGCCACCACATAATACACTGTTCATTATTAATTAGTGATCAAGTGAGTGACTCCTAAGTCAAGCTACATTAAAAATAAAATAAAAGTATTATATACATAAATTTAAGCTTTAAACACAGTTCTAAGATATTATTATTAGACACAAATAAACTGAATCTGTGAGCATAGCTATAAACTCTAATTACTCATGCATAATTAATTGAAGCTATCAGCTGTCTATCTATCATACTGAATGGTTGTTACTGATCAAGTGTCTGCTCATAAAAGAAGCTGCATTGGTCATTAATCACATAAGCTTAACAAAGAAATAAACTAACCAGTGGTATATAATTAGTCAAGTACATAAGAAAGAAGGAACAATGCAACAGGCCTACTGGCCTATGAGAGGCAGGTCCAATTGGCTTAAGCCAATTCCTTGACCTAGTCAGGTCAGTCACGCCACTTAAGGGAGGAGCACGGCACAAGCTAGTCAGGTCCAACTCACACCCAACCACACCCACTCATGTATTTATCCAACCTATTTTTAAAAGTACACAACGTTTTAGCTTCTATGACGGTCCTCAGGAGTTTGTTCCACTCATCCACAACTCTATTACCAAACCAGTGCTTTCCTTTATCCTTCCTGAATCTAATTTTTTTCCAGTTCAAAACCATTGCTGTGGGTCCTGTCTAGGTTAGATATGTTTAGCAGGCTATTTACGTCCCCTTTATTAATTTCTGTTTTCCATTTATGCACCTCAATCATATCCCACCTAATTCTACGCCTTTCTAGAGAGTACAGACTCAGGGTCCTCAGTCTATCTTCATAGGAAAGATTTCTGATACATGGAATCAACTTTGTCATCCTCCTTTGTACGTTTTCCAGTGCATTTATATCTATTCTGTAATACGGTGACCAAAACTGCGCAGCATAATCTAAATGAGGAAAAACCAAGGATATGTAGAGTTGAAGAACAACCTGAGGACTTCTATTATTTATACTTTTTGCTAGGAAGCCAAGGATTCTGTTAGCTTTATTGCGAACACTAATGCACAGTTGTTTTTGTTCAGATTACTACTTAAACCAGAACTCTAAATCCTGTTTCCGCAATCCCATCATAATATTAAATCTACTGATTTTAGTTTATAATGTGGCATGGTATTTTCCTGTCCAACATTAAACTTTGCATTTGTCTATATTAAACTGCATCTGCCTATTCTCCGACCTTGCATCAGTCTATTCAATGCCCCTGAGTGCTCAATGTTCCTCCATTAAATGAATTGGACGGCCTATTATTGGTAGTCATCATAAAATTGCTTATTTCGCTGTTTATTCCCTCATCTATGTCTTTTATGTAAAATTGTGAACAACAACGGTCCAACACTGACCCTGTGAACATCGCTTGCACGTGCCCCTTTCTGATTTTTCCCCATTAATGCAAACTCTCTGCTGCCTATTTGTCAACCATACCTCTACCCAGGAAAAAATTTCTCTTCCTATTCCGTGCCTTAAGTTTTCTCAACAGCCTCTGATGTGGAACTCTATCGAAAGCCTTACTGAAGTCCATATACACAATATCACATTCAATACCATGATCTACCTCCTCAAATACCTTAGTGAAGAAAGTTAGTAAATTCGTAAGACAGGAACGCCCCTTTGTAAAACAGTGCTGAGATTCATTGATCAATTTTTGCCTTTCAAAATGGCTACGAATTGCTTCGGCAATTATTGATTCCATAAATTTTCCCACTATGGAGGTAATGCTTATTGGTCTATAGTTCAAAGCTAAGGACCTGTCACCTGCCTCGTAAATAAGTATTATATTTGTCATTTTCCACTTGTCAGGCACTCTGCCAGTTTGTAGTAATATATTGAAAAGATTAGGCAAAGGTATGCTAAGTTCCTCTTTACATTCCTTTAAAACCCTTGCAAACAGTTCATCAGGACCTGGGGATTTGTTAGGTTTTAATTTCTCTATTTGCTGAGGACCATGTCACTAGTTACCACAATCGTGCATAGTTTATTATCGTCCTTTTTCTTTATTATTTCTGGAATTTCGCTAGTATCTTCCTGAGTAAAAATTGAGAGGAAGTAGGTATTGAAAATTTCACACATTTCTTTATCACTGTCAGTGATCTGACCTGAGTTACTCTTAAGTGGGTCTATCTTGTCCCTAATCTTACTTCTGTATACCTGAAAGAACCCTTTTGGATTA